TCAAGGCTGAGCTCCATCAATATTCTCCAACAGGAGTCGAATTCTCGAACCCGCGCCGCCTTCAGCCCCGAGAAAAACCCGCCGCGTCAGGACCGCCTCCTCGCGGGCCAGGTGCGGGCAGAGCCACCACCTTCCGGATGTCTGAAAACGCTGACAACTTTCACTCGGGGAAGGTTCAGTCCCCAGGCCGCGTTGAGTGACTTTGGCAACGATCGCTGATTTTTGGGGGGATGGTTGGCAACGCTGACTTTTGGGGGGATGGTTGGCAACGCTGATTTTGGGGATGGTTGGCAACGCTGATTTTTTCAAGGGGGGATGGTGGCAACGCTGATTTTGGGGGATGGTTGGCTGGGGGGATGGTTGGCAACGCTGATTTTTGGGGGGGGATGGTTGGCAACGCTGATTTTGGTTGGCGCTGATCATGCAACGCTGATTTTGGGGATGTTGGCAACGCTGATTTTGGGGATGGTTGGCAACGCTGATTTTGGGGATGGTTGGCAACGCTGATTTTTGGGATGGTTGGCAACGCTGATTTTGGGGGATGGTTGGCAACGCTGATTTTTGGGGATGATTGGCAACGCTGATTTTTGGGGGATGGTGGCAACGCTGATTTTGGGGATGATTGGCAACGCTGATTTTGGGGATGGTTGGCAACGCTTGATTTTTGGGGATGGTTGGCAACGCTGATTTTGGGGAATGGTTGGCAACGCTGATTTTCAACGCTGATTTTGGGATGGTTGGCAACTGATTTTGGGACAGCTGATTTTGGGGATGATTGGCAACGCTGATTTTGGGGATGGTTGGGCAACGCTGATTTTGGGGATGATTGGCAACGCTGATTTGGGGATGATTGGCAACGCTGATTTTGGGATGATTGGCAACGCTGATTTTGGGGATGGTTGGCAACGCTGATTTTGGGGATGGTTGGCAACGCTGATTTTGGGATGATTGGCAACGCTGATTTTGGATGATTGGCAACGCTGATTTTGGGAATGTTGGCAAACGCTGATTTTTGGGGATGATTGGCAACGCTGATTTTGGGATGATTGGCAACGCTGATTTTTGGGGATGGTTGGCAACGCTGATTTTTGGGATTTGGGCTGCAACGCTGATTTTGGGATGATGGCAACGCTGATTTTGGCAACGCTGACGCTGATTTTGGGATGGTTGGCAACGCTGCAACGCTGATTTGGGGATGGTTGGCAACGCTGATTTTGGGATGGTTGGCAACGCTGATTTTGGGGGCAACGCTGATTTTGGGGATGGTTGGCAACGCTGATTTTGGGGATGGTGGAACGCTGATTTTGGGGGCGTGGCAACGCTGATTTTTGGATGATTGGCAAACGCTGATTTTGGGGATGATTTGGCACGCTGATTTTTGGATGGTTGGCAACGCTGATTTTGGGGGATGGTTGGCAACGCTGATTTTGGGAATGATTGGCAACGCTGATTTTGGGGATGGTTGGCAACGCTGATTTTGGGGATGGTTGGCAACGCTGATTTTGGGGATGGTTGGCAAACTGATTTTGGGGATCGTATGGCACGCTGATTTGGGGGATGGTTGGCGCTGATTTTGGGGATGATTGGCACGCTGATTTTGGGGATTGGCAACGCTGATTTTGGGATGGTTGGCAACGCTGATTTTGGGGATGGTTTGGCAACGCTGATTTTGGGGATGGATGGCAACGCTGATTTTGGGATGATTGCAACGCTGATTTTGGGGATGGTTGGCAAACGCTGATTTTGGGGATTTGTTGGCAACGATGATTTCGGGCGGATGGTTTGGCTACGCTGATTTTGGGGATGGTTGGCAACGCTGATTTTGGGGATGGTTGGGGGGGGGGCTGATTTTGGGGATGGTTGGCAACGCTGATTTTGGGATGGTTGGCAACGCTGATTTTGGGATGATTGGCAACGCTGATTTTGGGATGGTTTTCGTTATTTCTTTTTCCTTTTTTTTTGTTTACTCTTTTTTTGTTTTTATTATAAGTTCATTATTTCTAATTTCTTGCGTGTTTTCTTGTGTCTCTTTCTGACTTTTTTTTTAAACAATTGCAATTATGTTTTTTGCTTTTATTACTAATGATGATGATTTTGAGGAGGATCATGATAATTAATAATAATGGTAATAAGAATAACGTTAATGATAACGATAATGATAATAATCTTCATCATAACAATAACAACAATGACTATAATCATGATAAAGAGGCTAATAATAATGATGATGATGATGATAATGATAAGAATATTAATGGTATAATGGTGAATAATAAATGATGATAATGATAATAACAGCAATGATGATATGATAATAACACTATTAATAATGATAAAAACAGTAGTAAAAATCAATGATGATGATGATGGTGATAATGATACTAATAATAATGATAATGGTAATAGTAATAATTATCATTATAATGATGATAACAATAATAGTAACGATAACAACAATAATAATAATGATAAAACCGATAATAATAATGATAATAATTAT